TTGTTTGTTTTTTTGAGATGGAGTCTCACTACTGTCTCCTAGGCTGGATTGCAGTGGCATGATTTTAGCTCACTGCAGCCTCCACCTTCCGGGTTCAAGCAGTTCTGCCTCAGCCTTCCCAGTAGCTGGAACTACAGGCATGTGCCATCACGCAAGGCTAACTTTTGGTAGAGACAAGGTTTCACCATGTTGGCCAAGCTGGTCTCGAACTTCTGACCTCAGGTGATCCGCCCATTTTGGCCTCCCAAAGTGCGGGCTTACAGGTGTCAGCCACCACACCCGGCCCATTTTGGTTTTTTTGTTTTTCTGGTATGTACATTTTTTTTTAGAGACAGGGTGTCACAATGTCACCGAGGCTGGAGTGTAGTGTTGCAGTCAGCTCACTGCAACCTCAAACACCTGGGCTCAGGTGATCCCCCAAGTAGCAGGGACTACAGGCACACACCATCATGCCTGGCTAAATCTTTTTCAAATGGTCGTGGCTAATTTTTTTTATAGAGACCCGCAGTCTTGCTATGTTGCCCAGGCCAGTCTCAAACTCCTGGCCTCAAGTGATCCTCCTTCCTCAGCCTCCCAAAATGCTGGGATTACAGGTGTGTACCACTGTGCTGGCCAAAATTATCGACTTCTGGCCTAGGATTCTGCACAGGTTAGGAAAATTACATCCCACCAGGCTCTTGGAGACTGCAATTACTTAAGGATAGTGTGTAAGTGAAATGAAAATCTAAAGTTGAAAAGCAAGATGCAGGCCAGGCACAGTGGCTCATGCCTGTAATCCCAGCACTTTGGGAGGCTGAGGCAGGCAGATCACCTGAGGTTGGGAGTTCGAGACCAACCTGACCAACATGGAAAAACCCTGTCTCTACTAAAAATATAAAATTAGCCAGACATGGTGGCGCATGCCTATAATCTCAGCTACTTGGTAGGCTGAGGTGAGGCAAAAGAATCGCTTGAACCCAGAAGTTTGCAGTGAGCCCAGACTGCACCAGTGCACTCCAGCCTGGGCAACAAGAGGGAAGCTCTGTCTCAAAAAAAAAAAAAAAAAACGAAAAGAGAAGAAAAGCAAGATGCTTGAAAGTATTTAAATCTTAGAATAAGGACCTTGATTTGTTTGAATCGGTATCTACCCCAACCCCAGTACCAAGTGGTGTGATATTTGATGCTTTTTACCTGTTTCTTTTGGACCTGTTTCCTCTTCTGTAAACAGAATTTACCAGTCCTTTCATGGGTTGTCTAGGTTAGAGCTAACGTATATAACATCCAGTGGGTGGCACAGAGGAGCTTCATTAGGAGCTGAACAGATGGAGGGTGTTACTTTCTCCTACCAGAAGGGAAAGGGAATGTTTTCTCCAGCTTTATGGGCTTTCCTGTATTCCAGTGATCTTTTCAAAGGAGAGAGAAGGTGATTATGTTTATAATGTAATTACACTCCTTTTCCACTGTACCAAGTCACCTTTTGAGGTCATCTTTAATTTTCAAAGAGCCAAAAAGAAAGGTATGAATTAAGTTTACAAGTTGGTAACAGAAAAGGGTTTAAAAAAAAATTCTGAGGCCTGCACAGTGGCTCATACCTGTAATCCCAGCACTTTGGGAGGCCAAAACTCATTCAAGACCATCCTGGGCAACATGGCAAAACCCCATCTCTACTAAAAATACAGAAATTAAGTGGGCATGGTGGCATATGCCTGTGGTCCCAGCTACTCAGGAGGCTGGGGCGGGAGGATCACTTCAACCTGGGAGGTGGAGGTTGCAGTGAGCTGCGATCACGCCACTGCACTCCAGCCTGTGCAGCCTGTGCGGCACAGCCAGCCGGTTTTGGGGGGAAAAAAAAAAAAAGACTTAAAGAGAATGTAATGGAGTTTCAGAATTTAACTTTCCAATCAGATATTCAGTAACCAGGGGAGCACCAAGCAAGAACTGCAGGGAGCAACATAAATGGAGGCCTACCACCCCTACCTCAGCCCAGCAGGCTGACATTTTGAAAACCCCATTTTTGGACCAACCATGTGAAGTTGTGACTGGGTGTCCTAAAACAAACTACCACACAAGGACTAGGGTAGTTAGAGACATTTCAAGTTAAATGCTAAGGCTTCCTAAGATAAGGTCTTCTACATCACACAGGAAACTATTGCACATCACTCCTTTATTATACTGATCTGGAAAAAGGATTTAGTACAGTTATGCTCAAAGGAACACTGGACCCATGTGGCAGAACCAAGCAACTAGAACATGATTCAGAAATCAGTGAGACATTTAGACAGGACCAAGAGGCATTTCACTGCCACAAAACAAGGCAGGGAGGGATTCGGAAACACACAGCAGGAAGCACTCCTGCCGCTCAGAGGTCAAGGAGCTGATCCCATATTGGTATGAGGAATGGTTTATATTCTGATGACCATATGTGGTACTATTTCAACCGCCACAAGAAACCCCAAAAGGGTTATTGTTTTGTACTATTTATATATACTATACTTTCTTTTTTTATATAAAAGTAAATGTAACACCTAAACTAAATTCAGGATTCATCCCAACCTTCTAGAGCCAGCTTCTCTGGGGTCAGGGAGGAAACAGCTGTCACATCACCATGCAGGTTACATTCATCTGCCACTGGAATGACTAGAGCCCCCAGGCAGTGGCCTGACTGCCAACGAGCAGAGGACTGGCTGCTGGGGGTAGAAAGGCTCTCTTGCTTCTCTTCTTCATTGATCACAGCTTAGCATGTCCCTCCCTTCAAGTCTTTAGTAAACAAAGCACTTGCAAAAGCCCGTCACTACCTTTCAACTCTCTTGGATAAGGGGAGTCTTTCTACAGCTTGGACTGAGAACCTGTGCCCTAGAAGTGCAATTCTGACTAGAATGTATTAAGGGAGTGGGTACAGGAGACAAAATGGCTAAAAGGAAAATGGGAGCCACTAGTCCCCATCTGCAGCTACAGCTCAAGATGTCTACAGATGTGGTCAGTGTGACATGTGCAGGAGGGAGGGGTAGAGGGATGCAACAGGCAGGGAGGGTGCTCCTGGGGACAGCAGCCTGCCCGCTGGCCTTCACTTCTTGGCCTTCCCCTGGGCAGCCACAGCTTCCATGGCTTTACGCACGGTCTCTTCATCCCCCAGGAACTGCATGGGCTTGATGGGTTTCAAATTCTTGTCCAATTCATAGACAATGGGAATACCAGTCGGCAAGTTCAGCTCCATGATAGCCTCTTCAGAGAGACCTAAAAACATCCACCATGATCAGCCACAAAAGACATAAATCCATATCACCCCTCCAGGTTTACTCTTTTTCCTCCAGGTGACAAAGGACTTTGACAGAAATTAAAATAAGACACCCTTTCTGATCTTTATAGTAGTTCTGAACCCAGGGAATGGCCCCTACCATGTTTATTTTTCAGCCATTAAACTGAAAAGTAAAAAATAAAAAAAAAAGTAAAAAAACTGAAAAGCAAGAAAAGGTATACAAGATGGACTACCAACGAACTACAGCAAGATCAATGGCCAGATATCTCTACCAAAGTGGGATATAGAAGCTCACAGTAAAGCAAGATTATACACATCTCAGATATCCTATGTCCATCCAACCAAAAATCAGCATACATGGGCCTCTAGGCCCTTGGGGGTGAAACAATTTAAGACAAATTGAGATTCATATGTGA